TGAGTAAGAATGGTACAGCGGGCCGCATGCAGCATCGAGCCGAACACATTCCCCAATGGCGTACGGATCAGCGACCGGGACGGAAGAGACGCGGACGTGGTCGCGCCGGAAGCGACAGTAAACCACGCACTGCGGCCTGTGCACGAAGATCGGGGCGCGAGGTTCTCCCTGTTCAAGTGGTTCAAGCGGTCCGGCAATCGGGGTTCGACCGTCGAGAAGCGGCGAAAGACGACCGACAAGTGTCGAGAGAATGACAGGCAACAGCCGAGCATCTCCTCCAGCGCGGAGAGCGTAGACACCTTCTACAGCACCACCACGGTACGCAGCTTCGCGTTCCACACCGGCACCCTGGGCAGATGCGACGCCCTGTCGCTAGACATCCTCGAGCAGGCGGCGGAAGTTGGCCCGTTCGCGGCTGGTGCATCCAAGGTCACCGTTGGCAACAAAGAGAACGACGTCGCGGACGTTGCCTCCACTCTACCGACGAACGCTCACTCCCACAGACGGGACATCACTGCCAGGTATTCCCTGCAGCCATCGGCGACCTTCACTTCCTGCGGAAACCTACCGTTTCCGGAAAGAAAGCCTCTGGGATCGTTGAAGAGGCTCGACGACAGAAGACCCAGCTCCAGTGCGAGCTCCACGCGCAGGAGGGTGCACGTAAAGGGCAAGAGGCGCGCGCCGAACCCGCCCGCGGCTAGCCCGCCGGGGATAGATGCCCGCGACACGCCGAGGAACAGTAACAGGCGAAAGAGGAGAGCCCCGAAACCGCCGGACAAGATCGTCGACGAGGAGCCAGCCGAGAGGAAGAGAGACGAGGAGGTGACCGATGGCGGGATGGACGTAGAGCCGCGCGGAGACGCCGGGGAAGGGCAAGCGATCAGCAACGACACGCTGGTTCTACAGGGAGGCGTGTTGCTGTCGAAAAAAGAGAAGCCCGCCGCGAAAGAGAAGAAAGACACCGGTACTAGCACGACGGACACCGTCATTCCACAGGACACTCAGACCACGGCACCGGCGTTCGGGACGCTGAACGCCGCGATGCCACGACCTTGGTACAAACGGAGCGTATTCGAGCATTCCCGGGATTCCGGGCCGTCCCGCAGGGGCGATGTGCTCCGGGGGCCAGCAACCTCGACGATCGAAATAAAAGAAGACGCCGCGGCGGCGACGACGAGCCTAGCATCCGCGAGCTACCCCGTGGACGCCTCTTTGTCGAGACTGAGCTTCTTCCACCGTGGACAGCCGGAGGAGAGGAAGAGGGAGGCGAAACGGAAGTCGGGTCTGTCGATACTGACGAACATCAGCGAGCTGGACAAAGAAGCCGCCGCGATCGTGCAGGAAGAGCAAGCCAGAGCTAGAGCCTCCATGCTGCTGAAGTCGTCGCGGTTCGTCGATGCTTTCGAGAAACGGGACGTGAACGAGGAGATCGTTCAAGATATAGTCACATCCGCGATGGAGAACTCTTCGCCCAGACGCGGCACTCGAGCGTTGATCTCCAAGTTTAATGCCATCAGCAATATAACGAAGGTCACCGTGAACACCAACTTCTTCGCGAAGGGAGCCAGGGAGCAAGGATCGAAGTTCGAAAGAGACACGAGGAATGCGAGACAGAGCGACCCGTCGACGGACTGGAGGGAGCAGCCGAGATTTTCGGCGCATCCCGGCCAGAGCGGACAATTCGAGAAGGACATCTCCAGGTATTTCCCACAGCAACAACAAAAGGCAGCTAGAAGCAAACCGGAAAACGCGGACGCCGCGAAGCTTCCAGGAAGCAGGATCAGCGCTGGTAAGGAGCAGAGCGATCGGCTGGCCACAGAGACCTCGAGCAGAATATCGTTCCTGCAGAGCCAACTCGCCGCAAATCGAATGAACGAACCGGCGATTCTTCAGAAGGACACTGTAACGGCTGTAATGGAGGAAAAAATTCGATCAAGGCAGGAAGTCGCCGGTGAAACGAAGGAACCGGAGACAAAACCGGCGGAGGAGGACGACGGAGGCGGGTTGTTTTCTCGAGGCCAGGCGAAGACGCACGCTACAAGCATCCTGGAGGATCCGAGAAGGATGGACAAGCGTAATTTCGACGGCGTGCAGAAAGAGTTCTCGGAGATCTTCGAGGAGATCGATAAACAGCTTCGCATCAAAGAGTTGAAGCACATCGATCGTCGGTCGTCGCGCGAGAGCGCGGCGACGGCCACTAATCAGAGGGGCAAAGATCCGAGCGAGGAGGCCGGAATATCAAGTAAGGTGACTAAAGTGCTCGACATCCTGGTGGAGGCGGAGAAGGACGCTAAGACGAAGAGCAGCGCGGCTCAATCGGAGAAATCGATGCCGTTCGAGAGCGACGCGCCGCGCGCGAGCGCGAAATCGAAATCGGAGAAGACCAGGTCCCCGATACTCAGTACCGTCGAGGATCCAATTACTACGGACCTGAAGGAGATGTTGAAGGAAATGAAACACTCGTTACCGAAGCGGCCGAAACCGGACCGAATGGCGGCACGTTCCAGCGACGTAACAACGAAAGTGACTAAGGAGAAAGAGACTGCTGCACGGGACAACAAGACCACGTACTTCGTATCCGCGGTGACGAAGGTCGAGAACATCGCCCTGCAGAACGAGTACGAGATCGAGAAACAAAAGGTCTCGTGCTCGGTGCAGACCAGCGGGAATTTGCGCAGGTTGCATCAACCTCCTCCATTGGATCAGCCATCCACGTCGGGATGGAAACAGGAGAACGTTCTCTACAAAACATCTGGGAGGAACTTGGGCGGTTCCGGGCTGACGAAGAACACCTTTCAGCTGATACGGCCGCGGGATTTCGCCGAGATCGAGGCCACGAAGACCGTGAAGACCGCCGGTAACGAGAACACTTACGCGAACGTGATGGAGCAATCGATTTACGCGAATGCCCATGTTCCCGCCTCGCCGAAACAACGTACCGGTTCCCCGAGGATTAACGAAGCGAGGAAGATCGATAACGCGGCCGCGATACCGATCGCGTCTCCGTTGGCTGGAAGAAAGGCGAACGCGAACGAGGACGCGTTCAGCGAGGAAGGTAACCCGAGATAGTAATTAGGGGATGAGAGCACGCCGTGACTGTACGGCTGAATCATCTGACTAAATTTATGACGCGGTGTCTCCGTTCGTTTTTCCTCTGTGTTAACGCTTCTGGCCGTTTGTTGCAGAGGACAATTCATCGGAGAAGAACATGAATACGCTCGCCATAAACCGATTACTCAGAAAGTTGGAGGCAGCGATCGCATCCGGCCATCATCAGCAGGCGGCCGGCCTAGCGAAGGAGCTGGCACGACTGAAGATCCACTGTTCCGTGATTCGGCAGCGATCGGCCCGTCTCAAAGATCAGTTGATTAAAGTCAATATGTACATTGAGGACAAGCTTGCTCACCAGGGGCCCATACCTCTTCAGGTAAATAGCGGTGCCTAGGCGAAATCGAGGCGCCCGCGTTCCCTATTCCATAAGGCGATATTAGATGCTTTGCTAAGCCGAGATATGATGACAGTTGCCGAGCCGGATGACAGTGGCCGAACTGAAGGCGAAAATACACACGGAATTCGAGATACCCACGAATGTGCAACGATGGATCATCGGGAAGAACTTGGCCGACTCTGACGCTGCCACGCTGAATGAGCTGCAGGCGGTGGACGGGTCACCTATATTTTTGTATCTCGTTGCGCCAGGTATGGTTGGCTAACAATCATTGTTTGTTACTCGTTCTAGCGCTTTCGATATGATATACGATTGGATATTCGAAATAAATGAGTACGTCGACAGATAGCACAAAGTTGTGCAGTGTAGAAACTAGAATATGATGAAGATTGAGAATGATAGATTTAAGGCGCATTAACGCGATACGTATCGTTTCAATGTTCTTCGTGGTATTACAGAGTTAAAGCCTGCGAATGTAACGCACGAAGACAAAGCTGACAACGCAGACAGAGTACCAACCGTAACAAATGAAGAAGCTTCGTCTACAGAAGTGCTGGAGACTGTGGAAGAAGATCATGAAGTAGTCGAAGAACCCCAGGTATTAATGTTAATGAATAGCTACTTTACGTCTAGCTGATTTTAATGCGAGAAATAATTGCCAACAGGAGACAGAGGAAAGAAATACGCCAGAGGAGGTGAAGATGGAACGATACGAAGAATTGATCTCGTTAGAGAACTGCGATGTTATACCGAATTCCGAGCCAATCGAATGTCCCGTATGCTTCGTTACATACGGTCCACGCGAGGGCGTGATATTGAGAGATTGCTTACACATGTTCTGCAGGTAGGAAAGACTACGATAACAGTCGCTGTCTTGATAAAAGTTATCTAATCTACCTCTTTCCTTAGGTCTTGTATTGTCAATACGATTAGATACTGCGAAGAAGCTGAAGTGAAATGTCCTTACAGAGATTCGGAATACACTTGCGAGTCGACTCTTCAAGAACGCGAAATTAAAGCTGTAAGTAGATTGCAGATCAATTTTC